TGCTTATGGCAGATGATTTCGAGTTGTTCTTTCTGAAAGTAATTACACAAAAAGTTCCACCGCTTATTAAGGCTCCTCCTTAAGGCGGTCTGATCTCTTTTAATTAATAAGTTGAATATGGAAGGATTTAATTGTGATGAATTTCTATGTCACCTCCTTCAAAATCCCCTTGTAAAGGGGTCCTGCGAAGCCCACCACACATTTCTAGCTGCTCAGACACCCATATCCAACCGAGAGCCTTAGACACCCTTCTGCAAAGTCTGGGGGAATCCTGTGGGCTGAGGCCTCTCTCAAGACCGTGAAAGGTAAGGGATTATTTGACGAGCTACGGGAAGTAACTGCACACCGGACCCAACACTGAATGCCGAGAGTTCTCTAGAACCGCACTTTTGAGGCTTTAGCAGCTTAGTCTGCTCAGGTTACCATAACAAAACACTAAGGACTGGGCGGTTAACTCTCTCATAGCCTGAAGGCTGGAAGTCTAAGATCAAGAGGTCAACGTGGTCAGGTTCTGATGAGGGCTCAATTCTGGGCTTACAAACGGCCACCTTCTTGCTCTGTCCTCACATGGCGGCGGAGAGACAGAAAGAGAGAGAGAAAACAAGCTCTCTGGTATCTCTACTTATAAGGGCACTAATTTCCATCACGAGGGCCCCACCCTCATTACTTCATCTAATCTTAATTACCTCCTGAGGACTAAGGTTACCTTACCCAAATTCCTACCTAAGGGGCCTGGGGAGTCAAGCCCTACAAACCATAAATTCGCATCAGATGGGTTTTATTTAACTTGTGACTTACTTTCCAACCCGACAACTGGCATCACATTACAAGATAAGGAAGAAAATCATACTATTTTACCCCAAAACATGTTTCCTTGCCTTTTGAAATGGCCCTGCAAAGCCGTCCTTTGTGGGGAAAATCTGCATCTGTAAAGAGTCTCTAGTCACGTAGCTGGATCTTTTTCTTCCAGGCCTCGCAATCCTGAAGAGATTAAGTAAGACTCCAGCACTTCTTCAAGGATCTGAATAGCAAACATTTGTCCCTAAAGGAAGCCACTGTATCTACTGTCTCCAAGGGCCGCCACTGTGAGACTTCAAAGGAACCTTGGTCTCTGCACTTTTTTATCTTAACCTAAACATTTCCTTTCCATTGATCCCAGGTCTTTAGACAAACTCGGCCAACTGTCAATCAGAAAATGTTTAAATTTACAGTATACTGGGTTTCTCCAGTGGCCCACCTGGCCTTCTTCCAAGTTGTATGTTCCTTCTTTCTTTTCCCTTCCCTACTGTTCTAAAGCTTTTAAATAAACTTTCACTCCTGCTCTAAAAAAACAAAAAGAAATGTTTAAAGTTCCCCGTAGCCTGGAAGCCCCTACGTTGAGTTATCCCGTCTTTCTGGACTAAACCTATGTGTTTCTTCAATGTATCTGATGGATGTTTCATGCCTCCCAGTAACATATAACACCAAGCTGCACTCCGACCACCTGGGGCACACGTTCTCGGGACCTGCTCAGGGGTGTGTCACAGGCCATGGTTACTCCTATTTGGCTCAGAATAAATCTCTTCAAGTATTTTACAGAGTCCGACTCTTTACGTTGACATTCCCCAAGCCCCATCTCCAGACACCATCACAGGGGAGGCGGGTAGGGCTTCAACCTGTGAATTTGGGGTTGAGGGACACAGCACGAACCAGGCTGACAGCAAATATGGTTGAAGACAGAGAAAGCCAAGCAGGAGCCCAAGCCAGACTTCTGGATTTTGGTTTTTGCAATTTTTTTTTAACTCAAATTAGCCGTATCTCAGCAGAAGAGGCTTTTAAGAGATTCGTGCAAAAAGGTACAGGACCTCTGGAGATCAGCTTCATTTTGGCCAATTAACATAAAATGAACAGCATGTAAATTAGGTTCATTCAATCCATCATTCAGATGAAAAGTGGTTTGAAACTGATGTGTTATTTTTGAGTCGACAGCATGAGAATGTTTGGAAATAAGACTACGGCACTGAGGACAAAGACTGCGTTATTCTTTCCTGAGGCTTCCCCTCATTCTGCCATAAAACCAAGGGCACGCCCTACGAAGGCTGAAGCCGGTCTGGCCGCAAGAGAGGTCAGTTTATTCATTCGATCGGGGGTGTGGTGGGCACTTAGCACATCTAACGTGCTGTGATCTGCGGACGGTATCAGAAGTAGCAGCCTGTGCCCTCACCAAGCTTGCAGAATAGCTGTGACATGATTTTATCTGGGAAATGCTACTGCCTGAGAACTAGGCATATTCAAACACAGCAGAGTGGGGACTAGAGGCAACCTCCCGGCTGAGCCTCTGGAGTAAGTGCCATGGGGAGGTGACCCTGGGCACAGCCTTCCCAATGCCGACCAGACACTAGTGCCCTGCAGACAGCAGCCGGCATCAAGATCATCCCAGCAGCTGGGCAGAGGACAATGAATAAAAGACGGCTGTCACCTCAGGACACCTGCTGGGAAGAGGAGGGTCCCACCTGACGGG